CAGCCATGTATATGGTTTTAACGGCATATATATATGTTGAACATATAGCACATATTGCACATAGTTGGATGGTATTTAACAGCAGCAAGTTACACAATTTACAAAATACACATCTTTTTTTAAGGATTTAGCAGCCAGGTATATTACACAGTTATTAACGGCATATATATATACTCTTATATATATATATATTGCACATAGTTGGTTTAAATAAATGGTTTTGAGTTGGTTACACGCCTTTTTTAGTATCATGTTAACTTCTGTTATCTGAAGGATTTCATCAACACAATCACATGATGATAAGGTTTGTAAACAACACTACTCGATTGTTTCACTGCTGAATGACTCAGTGGTCGTAAACACAGGACCTCTTTAATCTCGTACTTCCTGAGGAAAACTCTAATAAATCCCACATGCAGCAGCAGCACACTTCCCCTTTGTTGATGTCTCAACGTTTATGAAAGGCTGCATGTTGAAACATAGCAAAGAGGTCAGTCAAGGATATAACGAATAGTTCACAAAGTCAACTAAAGTTTATTAAACACCACTAAAGTGTTTAGCATTTTGGAAACTGCAAATCTGTCTTGCAAAGGAAACGTTTAAAAACACTCGACCACTGACTGAAGTTTCACCAGTTATTAGCTGATGAGAACAAACATGCAAACAACATGAAAAACCTCTAAAATACAAATTATTCTCTTGTATTTCTGTAAGACGTTTTGTTTGTTACCCAAAAAAAACTTACTTCCTTGCCATTTTCTCCGTTCAGTGCCAGGATGTAATGTAACAGTCCTGACAAGTTCCTCTTCATGCACACAGTTATCTGAGATAATTATCATGACGTTACTAAGGGATTCAGGACCAGCCCATTAAATAAACGCCTACGTTCCCTCCCTTTTCTCATTAAAATAACGGAAGTCATCTTCTGGTAATGCATTAAAATAGAGTATCCGTTTCAATTGTGTTCTTTCTTAAACCAGTTAACAGCTAAGCGACTCTAATGCTTTTTAAGTTTCTTTTTAACATTACAACATTAACATTAATGTAATGCAATGTAACAAAACCGCCAGGTAGACGCCCCAAAATTCCTTTATTATCTTCGTGACTCTTCATGTTTTGAGAGATAGGCTTGTTTGTGACGAGTTGCGGCTCGCCTCGAAGGTAGACGAGAATAGCCGATCGCAGCCGGAGGAGGTCTCAAAAAGCTCGCCTGAAGTCGGACAGCTCGGAGTCGGATTCTTCTTCTTCTTCTCTCGGTTTTTTGGCGGATCGCAAACAACTTTAAAGTGCATACCGCCACCTCCGGAGTCGGCTTGACTCGGTTTTCATTTATAAAGAATGCACAATCGTTAATGTTAGATATGTACTAAGTAAATACATGTGTTCCTGCTCAAGATTAGATTCAACTTTATTGTTATTGCACATATTACAGGTACTGAGACAACGAAATGCAGTTTAGCTTCTAACCAGGAGTGCAAAAAGCAGTAAAGTGAAAAGTAATGTAGTCTACAGAATAAAATATAGAATGAATTGAATGATGAATAAACAGTGAGGAGGGGTATGAATACACTAGATATACACACAGCCTGTGAGCAGTATGAACAGTGTGTATGAATATGCTAAGGTATATCAAGTATGAAAACGGTAAGCAGCAAATGATGGTGAGAAGCTAAACTATCTATTAATTATGTCCATTACAGGGAGTGTGATTGTAACTGTGTGTGTGTGACTAGCTGGATGCAAACAGGTAAACGCTGTCTTTTGTTTCCCATGCTTGCTCTTCAAACAGCCGGGGAAAGAGAGTTACGACACTCTTTGATGTCGCCGCCAGCCGGTCACGTGGTTTATGTATGCCGGGATAGTTCAAAACGCACTTCCGGGGCAATGCTTCTCTATGGCAAAAACAGCACGAACGTGGTCAAAATAGTCATAGATTAAACCTACGCTGTTATTTTTTAAAGATTGCTTTCATATGTACATGATGTGGTTACACTTTGTATTGATTGGCACTATTTCCAAGTTTCGTTATTTAACGATATTTTGAGGGGAAAGTGTGGTAGCACAAGCAGGCTATGTTGATATCACTGCCAGGGCAGTGACGTCCGTAGTATAGTTGCGCTGCGCTGTCATGTTCTTCTATGGGACAGACATGTAACGATCAACTATCTAAAAATAGTTGTGTTAATTAAACGCACAAGGGGTTCTTGAATGAAATAATATTATAAAAGGTAAACAGAAATAATAAACGGATAATCTGCTCTTCCCACAAAATACTCCCCACGGAAATGTATTAAGTCTATATGCACACATTAACAAAATAAACAAAGACAGGTTTTCTGCGTTATTCAAGTGTATTCACAGTTTTTCGAGCCAAACAAAACAAATAAAACCCAACAAAAAGTCCACTCGCGATACATTGAAATTGTCTTTACTGCCTAATCCAGTGTAGTGTAGTTCATTGATACAAAAAAAAGGCTGTTGCTCCTGCGCCCGTCGGCGGCAAACAAAAATGTTTGTAGGCCTTTTCAGGCTATAATCCACAAAAAAGGAAAACACGATGATCGGCGTGGCACAAAGGATCGATCTCACCCTGTGTTGGAGAGAATCTCTCTCACTGTGCGCGTCCTCTCCAGGGAGACGTGCTTCGAGGTTAGTCGATGCAATATCCACATACGGTTACTTTCAGTTACTTCCCCCGTTGCATTTGAACATATATAGACATGCTGAGGAAACTTAAATATCCCGCTGAATACCCGCATTCACCACACATACGCTTCCTCCTCCCGTGAGAACCACCCCTGGCATTCCGGTGACGCGCCCACCAAAAAGCCTCTGGGCGCGCCGCGACAGGTGAATCTGCAAATGAGGCTTGCAGAACCACACCCTCAAACCTTACACAAAAGTGGACATTTAATGTGTATTATCCTCGCAACTACAGTCATTAAATGTCCACTTTTGTGTAAGGTTTGAGGGTGTGGTTCTGCAAGCCTCATTTGCAGATTCACCTGTCGCGGCGCGCCCAGAGGCTTTTTGGTGGGCGCGNCCCTGGTGTGTCCGTTGGCAGTACTGTGACTTTACAGTTGCCATGCCCATGGAATTACTGTGATATAGCAGTACAGAGCTGTGGTATTATGGTACCTTGCTGTACATAAATTACAGTAATTAGGGATGTCCCGATCACCTTTTTTTGCTCCCGATCCGATTCCGATCATTTGATTTTGNACACCCTCAAACCTTACACAAAAGTGGACATTTAATGACTGTAGTTGAGAGGATAATACACATGCATCATAGATTTTTCATTTCATTCTAAACTACATGTCTTAACCTTTTCCCCTGCCCCTACAGTTTATAAGACAAACTGAGATCAAACTGCGACTGTCACAGACAGACAGCAGCGATTGCATTATTGAATGGTAAATATATATATAAAAAAACACACACACCCAAGTACTTTTTCAGCTGTAATTGCATTATTGCATACTGTTAAATATGTTCTTTATTCTCGCGTCCAGGAGAGAAGCTTTAAAATGAGACTAAATGGAGTCTCTGAAAAGAATTCAAATGGGATACTAATTAAAAAAGGCGCGGTAGTGTTACAGACAGCATATTGTTCCGGCAGAAAACAGCTGTGATCTGGCTCTCATGAGCAAGAGAAGAGAGGGAATCCCTCGTCCGGTGCTGCTATATATATCCTCTGCTGGCTCCTCCCCGCCAGCCGGCTCGCCTCGTCTCTAATGTCCGTTGTTGCATTTAAACAGAGGATTGGTACTTTTTACATTCAATATATGCTTAACCCGCCTTTTCTCTTCATATTCTCTTTCATCACTTTTCATGTAACACATTCTAAACGCTGTAATCAATACTC